TTTTTTTTTTTTTTTTTATATCTTTATTGATTTCAGAGAGAGGAAAGGAGAGGGAGAGACAGAAACATCAATGATGAGTCATTGATCGAGCCCACAACATGGGCATGTGCCCTGACTGGGAATGGAACCCTGATCACCTGGATCTGAGGTCGACGCTCAACCACTGACCCACGCCCGGCCAGGCTGAAATTGTTTTAACATCAGCTTCTCTCTCCCCTTCTGATCAGCTTTCAGCTGTTACACTGCTCTCCTAATCTGTGATCAGATAATCAAGGTACTGAAATCAGTTTACTTGTAATACAACCTTATTTGCAATTCTGTCACTTGCTCTAAGTCCTAGGTGAAAGGCACAGCTATTGCAGCAGTGTGAGGGGAGGCTGTTTTTGCTTATTTTGGGGTACACCTTTCAGTTAGACTAACTCTCTTAGACCTGCTTCTTGCCTCACTGAATAAATCCAGATGGTGGCACATGCTCTTGTTGCCTTTTCACTCCCTCTCCCTCTCAGGGTCTTGACTGAAATTACCTTTATGCCTGTCCACCTCCTCATTGCTACCTGTTTCTGATTTTCTGAAGCCTCGCTGTCCCTTAGCCTAGGATTAGTAGTTTCAAGCCTTCTTGGGCTCCTGATACCAATAAGCATGCACAATGCTGGCTTCCACTTTGTGGACTTTTTTGCTTTAGTTTCTCACACTCTTAAGTAACGCGTGGCACTTATTTGTGTTTTGACATCTGCACTATTTAACAACTTGGATCTCATTAAGTTCATCACATTCTGTGTGTGAGCAAAGAAAACAGACTTCAATAATTAAATCGAAACAAAACTCTCAAATCACATATTACTAAGTATCCTAAATGTAGCTGGATAGGCTCCTGTTTCCCAATCTGCCTAAAGGATCTCATGGAACACTTCATAAAAAAACACATTTCCAGGTCTAATCCAAAGGACATATTACTTAACAAGTATCCAGGTGATAATTTTAATCAGGCAAATTTAGAAACACTGAGCCCTTACCTCCACCCTCAGAGCTATCAGGACACTGGGAAGTTCAACTGGGACCCAAGGGAGCCTGGTAAGCTTGCAACCAACCTATAGTAGTGTAGGGTTCATTCCATCAGGGTAGGAAAATTCTAGGAGTCAACTACAAGTTGGGATAAACATTGGACAGTCTTCAGGGCTTGAGACCAAGGTAGGAACTTAGGGTCAATTTACCATCTCTGCACCAAGGATGGTTTCAAACATACACTCCTTGGGTATATACTATCCCAGATTCTGGGGTTCCAGAACTGTTAGTTGGAGCCATACAGTTCTTCAAAAAGTGTAACAGGAAACCTGGATCCACTGGGGTCTACAATCCTTTGCTTATATTAAAATCATTTGGAATGCATATCTATTATTAGGTAAGGTTTTATTTTCACTTAAAAAATCAGCTCAATACCAGATCTATGTTAGATCACTGTTCTCGCAGTACTACCTCTGTAATTTTTGAGGCTTGAGAAAGGAGCACCGAGCTTTGATATATGTGCGACTCATGCCAAGTCTTTGGTTTCTTGGATCAACCATATGTAAGATAGCAAGATGTTATCCCTCAATTTGAGGACACAGGGAGATTTAAGCATGTCTGAGAATTCTAATAAAAGCTCTAGAAACACACTATTTATTCTCATGATCATAATTTCTATTCCTCTTACAATCCAACCATTTGATGGGATAATGTAAGGAATAAATAGAATTATATAAAAATTAGCCTAAAATTATTGCAGAAAACTCAAATGGTGGTCCACGAGACAGCCAAAATTGAGGGGGAACAAAATTATGAGGGAAAAAATGCCTCCTAGGTCCTAAAAATAAAAGTTTCACTCTTCAAAAATTTATTTCTCTTTAAGTGAATCTTCTTTTGCATGAAGGAAAGTCATGCTGATGTTTACACTTGGTAAGCAGGCTAAATATTTGAGCATTTTTTCCCCAATGGTTCTAGAAATTATCTGTCTTAAGATAAAACTTTAAAGGTTAAGACAGTAAAATGAGGTAGAATGAGAAAAGTACTTTATTCAGCACACACCAAGTTTTTCGACTTCCATTCATAATTACAGTAAAAGAAAATCTCTTGCTGAGCATTATGTTTTATTTAAATAGGCTCAGGAAAAAAATGTTAAATTTCAAACCCCTAAAGTTATCATTGAAAGCTATATTCCTTATAAATATATAGGTACATAAATATGTGTATCTACTCTTTTGTATGAACCATTCAAAACAATTGAAAAGTCATGTTTTTCTGTATTTAAAATTGTCCTTTCAAATATTTAGAAGTTCCATAGGTGGTGGCTTCAATGGAATTTTCCCCAGAGTAAATTTCTTGGACTGAAATTGCTCCAGTTCTTCTCCTGTTAGTTGATGCTTGGGTGTGAATAATTCATTACCTGTTGTGCTGCCATTTGAGACAGGGACAGAGGTGGATGTGCTGCTTCCACAAGTGTCACTGGCTGGCTTGGAAGTAGTGTGAGAATGTGAGCCTGGACTACCAAAGCCAGCCACAGAGCTGCTGTTTCCAAAGGCTGGGGCCACTGGAGCTCCAAAAGGGCCTGCTGCCACGGGAGCTGGGAATCCCGAAAACCCAGCTAAGCCAAATCCTGAGGCTGCAGGGGTTCTAAATGAAAATGAAGCAGCAGATGTGATTTCCGGTTTCCCAAATCCAGGAATTGGAGTAGAAGTAGTGATGGCAGGACTGGTAGAGGGAACAGCTCCAAATGCTGGAGTATTCCCGAACACAGAAGGGCTTCCAGAAGAGGCCGTGGCAAATCCAGAGCTTGCTTTAAAACTGAAATTTTGAGCATTACTACTGCTGCTGTTACTCACGGGAAAACCTACAAATAAACCAGAAAAATAAAAAAATAATTACAGTCAGAAAATGTAGCCATGTACCCCCTACTCCCTCTCACTTCCCCCTTATTCCCGTCATGCTTGGATTTGCGAAGAGAGATTATTGGAAGGGGGAAGAGAAAAGTGAAAATGAGAACCATGACACACCCACTGAACCCTGCTGTTCTGTCTTTCTGCTATACTGATCTCATCTGCACCAAGATTCACCTTCACTCAGGGAGGCAGCTTTGAGAAGCCTCAGAGATTAGCCAGTACCCTTTTGCTTTCAGATCCCCCTCCCCTCCCCCCACCTCACCAGAGCTGTCGCTCCTAAAATACACGTCTAAAGCCTGAGCCACAGGGTCTTTCAAAGGACAGCCCAGCCCATTCTGGCCCCCCTTTCACTAGTGCTTGATGAGCCAAATTCTTTGAAGCTCCATTATAGAAGGTGGTAGAATTTGAAGGGTAACTTAAAATGGTACTTAACATACCTTCAGGCTTTATGATTTGAAACATATAAAGTCGTATTTTTCTAAATCAGTGAAGTCCTGCATTTCTTTATTACTTACCTGGTGACCCAAATGCTACTGTTTGCCTGTTGCCAAATCCAAATGTAGGTGCTGCTTGGTTTATTCCATCTTTTACATCAGAGAGCTATTAAAAAAGGCAAATAATAAAGTAGTTGATGAATAATTCTCAAGTACCTTTTCTATATACTTTAGAACCAAATTCAGTGTTTAAAATATGCACTTAAAAATGTGAAGCTAAATGTTTAACATAGAAAAGTGCCCACAATATGAATATGCATAGAAAAAAGTAAACCAACCTCAAAGATTAAGAGTAACTGGCTGATGAATTATGGTTTTAATTTTATTTATGCTTTTAAATATTTTCTAAATTTCTTTAAGGAACACATATTAAAATTGGAAAAGGAATTTTTAATAATACATTTCATTGTCTATAAGCTGATCTGCATTTATCAAGAAACCTAGATATTAGGTAAGGGACCTTTAGAGGGCACCCAGTCTACTTACTCTAATGCTCGAACTGAAGTTCATTCACAATGACACTGTTAAAACTTACCACTAAAATCTATTAAACATTTCCCATGGCCTGCAAATACCTTATGCTCTTACTATTTCCTGCTCTAGAAATGCCTTTCATCTCTGCTTACTGAAATCTTAATCTCCCTTTCAAGAAACTTTTCACTTACCCCTTCCCAAGAAGCCTTTCCTTTCCTAATCAACCGAAACAGATAATGATTTCTCTCATTAGGAAAACCCAACAGCATATTTAAAAAACAAACTTTATTGAGGTATAGTTTACATACAATAAAATGCATTCATTTTATGTCTATATATCTATAAAATATATATTTCAACGAGTTTTGATAAACTTACAACCACCAGCAGTATCAAGATTTAGAACACTTCCATCACCCCAAAAGTTCCCTTGTGCCCTTTTCCAGTCAGCCCTCTCCCAACTCCTGACCCCAAGAAACCACTCATCTGCTTCCTATCACTATAGATGAGGTTTGTCTTTCCTAGAGTTTCATATAAATGGGATCATTAGTATGTACTATTTTTTTGGTCTAGCTTCTCTCAGTGTGATATTCATTAACAGGTAAATGAATAAATTACATTATATTCATATAATGGATTAAAAGAATAAAGAATGAATTACTAAGTGGACTGTCCAAGATCCTCAACTACAAAGGGGGGCCTAGGAAGCTGGCAGAGAGCAGGGAACTTCCAACCATGAGGGAAATTCTGTAGTCCTTTGGACTCAGTTTCCCCTTCTCTGTCAACGCTCAGAATGGTGATGGTGGGCCACCCCTCACCTATGGATAGAATACTTTTAAGAAGTCCTACTAAATTCAGATGGTATTACAATAACTGAAAGGTGGAAGAAATTAGCTTGCACAAGAGTCTAGTTATTTAGGATGCACACAGTTAAGAACGGTGGGGTATTAGGACTGTCATACAGTCATTCACTAAGTTTAGGCTGCTACTACTCTCATGTCATTTTTCAGAAAGTAGAAACATAAACTGCCTGGAAAACTGGAAATATTAAATTCTAAAGGTAAATATCTTATTTTAAAATAGGTTCTTAAGAACTTTTTATGGGGCTAGAAAAATTGTAACTTTATTGACAGAGAGAATGAATATGCTACAGTTAGGATCATGTATCTTTGGAGACAAGTGGGTATAATATAACTCCTAAAGGCATTTCTGTATAAGGCAAGGAACATATGGTAAGTATCCTCCAGTCACAAAAGTATAAATGTGTACTCATGTTATTTTTGAAGGAATTTCTTTTTAAATGCTGATAACCAGAAATATTTGAGTTTATGTAGTATTTGCCAATTTCAAAATTAGTACTACCAAAGTTTAAGACATGACCCTAAATATAGTTTTAAAAAGGCATAATTATTTGTGCTTTTCTGACTGAGGAATAGATAGAAAACAATTCCAGGACCTTGACTCTAAATGATGATACAGTTCTTGAGAATGTGTGTATCATAATTCTTGACAGAATTTTTGCTTTGCTTTCCAAATTGAAAGTAAAATTCTCTGCAGAAAAGCAATAGAGAAGATACTTCCCTGTAGCAAACTCTCTAGTACTCACCAAAGCTATTTTAGTTGATGCATTTAGACTTTTCAGTTCATTTACCCTGTTCCTCCACTGATTTATTAACTGATGGATGGAATTTAGCTGAAGAGAGAAGGCAGAAAAATAATGAGTCAATATTGAGTGTTTAAGTTAATCTCTCAAATAACAACTTCACGAGTCTTTGCCAAAATCACAAAAAGTTTATGAAACATTTTTATGGCCCATAACTTGTAAAATTTGCATTGACCTTCCCCTATTTGCCAAAGATATTCCAGCTATAGTCCCCTTTCCCTGTTCTCTAACTCCTTGTAAAACCTGGTTAAGAATCACAAGTATCTGGCAGCACAGAGTCTGTTAGATTTGGATGGGAGGTGAACATGTGTACTATTTAAAACGCATGATCATGACTGTAGACAACAAAAAATACAGAGTTTGTCATTTCCTTTAGTACCAAACTTATTCAAGCTCAGCATTTTTATTTTTTGATATATGATATGTGATCATGTTAATCTATATAATAAACTACTTTATTTAACTTTGTCTTTCTAGCATTCATCATGGTGTCTGCACCTAACAGATGCTCCATAAATGTTAAATGATGGAAGGGTTTAATTTCTGGGACTGATTGCTGGATAATTTGTAATAGAATAATGATATTCCGAGTTACTACAGTCAAAATATATTATCACCATTTTAGATAACCAATCAATTCCAAAGAAAGTAGTTTAGAAAATAAAAATAGCTTTGTCTTAAATTGTAGATCTCATCCATTCTGCCAACACAAGCAAGCCTCGACTACAAACAGAGAAGACAGTAATTAACAGCCAATCTGTTACTGGGGTAGATGAATAGGAAATGAACTTACATAACTCTGTAAGTTATTGCTGGTTAAGGAGCTTTGGTATTCAAGCCTCAACTCTTCTGGTGAAATGTCTGTAAAACCTGAAGTAAGGAATCAATTGGAATCTTTAAAATAAATGCCAGTACTTTTGACAGTATAGTAAAGCTAGAGGTGCTAGACAAGGAAATATGCTAATGTTGAACATTAGAAAATTTTCATAATCATAAGGAAAAAATTCAAAGCCTAAATTCTCTTTCATGTTTAACAAAGTATAAAATTAGAATAAGGTATAGTTGGTTATTTGATCTTTGAAGGGGGAGTTTTTTTCTAAAGATAAATGAAGAGGAAGGAATAACAGAGAAGAAAAAGAAAGTTGACTACATATACATTCAAACTTCTGACTAAAAAATATTCTGTATGTCAGCACTACAATAAGCAAAATTAAAGGCAAATGATAAGCTGGGGAAACCGTAACTGCAACATAACAGGAGAAGAGCTAATGTTACTGTATGAGTAGTCTTACAAATCAGTAAGAAAAATAAGTTAATATGAACAAATATAATAAATAGGCAATTCACAAAAATTCAAATAGTAAATAAATGAAATAAAAAAGTTCAATTTAAAAATACAACTTAAAATAGAGAGAAAATGCTTTACTTATCAGACTGCCAAAAATTAAAAATGAATGTTATTTATTGTTATTAAGAATGTGGTGAGGTGAACTATCTCCTAAATTAACATTAAGGGAATTAAAAATGTAAAATTTTTCTAGGAGAAAAATTGTCAGTAAGCATCAATTGCCTTAGAAATGTTCACACCTTCTGACCTTAATAGAATTTCATTGAATCTGTTGCAATATATTGCCTGGTTGCAGTGTATGAAGTAAACCTGTTTTCACACAGATATGTAGTTGGGAAAGGATGACTTTAATGGCCTTTTCAGATAATTGTGAATATTCTTCTTTGATATTACACCAAAATTTGACAGGTGGTAGTTTCTAAAAGGTTAGCTACAATGTGGACTCAAACTTTTTGTACAATTATATTGACTCCAGTGGTTCATCTTGCACTTAGGATGGACTTTTCAGCCATGTATAATTTTGTAACATTACAGATTGAGCATCTGGAAAACACTGGTTCACTGAGTTGGCAAATGTCATTTTATAATATTGAAATACTCATATTTGTTAATGTCACTATCCATCTCATCTGAAGAGACTGTAAGTATCAAGAAGTCATCAAGTTCACATTAGCAGGAAACAGTTTTCCATAATCTAATTTTCACTTGAATTTTATTACTGGCAATAAACACTGTCAGTTGTTTTCTATGAAGTGACAAGCTCACTTCATTTATTTTTTAAAGAAAATGTCACCAAATACTTAAGTCTAAGTAATCACAGTTTCCAGTTACTCTTTCAAATATAAACTGTCCTATGGAAAAAAGTGGCTAGTTCAGCTCACAAGTCAAATGATCACACCAGTGCTTTCCCTCAAGATAACTACCACACATGAGTATGTGGCAGAAGCACTTTATGTGTGCTTCCCATTTTGTCACACAGAATAGTAAAAAGGTTTGCAGTCAAAGGTCAAGATTTAATAAAATTAATAACTTACCATTCCATCAAGGACATTCTTAAGTGAAAATGACATTAAATTTTTTGACTATTATAGTCAGTTAATACAGGTTATTTTCTCTGCCTTGATTTATACTAGGATACAAGGTGTTTTACACACTAATGCTTTTGCACCAACTGTGCTAATGTCAACACAGTGAAAATGGCAATTAATGTGTTACTATTATTATAAAATATTTTTGAACTTGTATAGCCTCTACAAGAGTCTCAGGAATAGTGCTGCCACATTTAGCAAAAGATGTCACAGGATGTCCAGTTAAATTTGAATTTCAGACATACAACAAATACTTTTTTAGTATAGGTATGTCACAAATGTTATATGGGCTATTCATATGCTAAAAATATTATTCTTTATCTAAAATTTAAATTTAAGGGGGTACCCCATATTTTATCTGGCAGCTCTACTTAGGGATCTACATTCCACATTTTGGGAACCACTGCTTTAGGGCATTCATTAGGCAGTAGGTTCAATTCTGAACTGATTTAAAAAGGCTTAATACTTCTTTATTTTCTTTACAGAAAAATCACTATCTGAAACTCTCTTATTTATTTGTGTTACTTATTGTCTCCCTCCCTCAAGAACGTAAGCTTCATAAGGGAGGGCTCCTGTCCATCTTGCTCATCACTACATCTCTAGCACTTAGAATAGGGCCTGGCACAAAAGAAATTCAGTAAGAATTTGTTGAATGATTGAGTAAATAATTGACTGAGGACACAAATGCTCACAGAGAATGAGCAGGTAGAGCTAAGACAGAGCGGAGATCCCAGAGTTCTGAGGGACTGCAGGGCTCTCACCTGCTAGGTACCTGCCCTCAACAGGGCAGAAGGCCAGGACCACCCAGAGTGGGCTTAGAAAAGCGCAGTGGTCTAGGTTTTAGCCCAGAAAGGGTTTAGAAACTATGGACAAAAGAAAATGGGAAGGAAAGGGGCATCTATAGAAATACTATCCCTGTGGTCCAGCTAAAGCTCTTTACCTTTAAACATTATCTACAGGATAGGTCTTCACATGCCTTATGAAAAAAGACTATCCTTAAAAGGAAAGATAGGGAAGAAAGAGGAAACAGAACCAGGCAGCCAAGGCCTTAATGGCAGGCAGGATGTGACTCTTCTATCCACTGCAGGCAGCCAAGAGATTCTGAGTTGTACCTATAGGGAACCAAGAAAGCAGAGCCTCTGCCTGGGCTTCCAGAATTGGAACTGTGGTGGGTCCTGATTTTACTGAAAACTACATATCTTAAAAGAACTATACCTTCCAACCTCAATCTCTGAATCATGAAGTTCTGCTAGAATACTTGGATACTTTAAACAGTGTCCAAACTCTCCTAACTGTAGCTAAGTTTGTGGTTAATTTCTTTATTTGGCATGGCCTTGGTTTTAGAAAATAAGAGTTGTAAAACATACTTTAAAAACATACAATTTCTCAGTTACCTGAAATACTAGGTTTCTTTCTCATTGGTGAATAAGCAGAGAACATCCACTGCCCTGACGACTCCCAAATCTCCATATCTTTCACAATTCCTTCCCTGACAGGAAAAGAAAAAAAAAAGAAAAAAAATTATATATATATATATA